TTCATGCTGTACCCCTGCCTGAAGCCCGACTGGTACGGGTCTAGATAGACAGCTTCATCCAGGTACCAGGGGAGCTGTCGTGCCACCACACTCTCAACAACCTTCACCACAAAACGAAGGTTGGAGACCGGACGATAATTAGCTAATACAGCCAGGTCCAGGGAAGGCTTCTTGAGGAGAGGTCTCACCACCACCTCTTTCAAGGTGGCAGGAAAGGCACCCTCACTCAAAGAAGCATTTATAATCCCCTGGAGCCAGCCTCGTGTAACCTCCCGAGAGGCCAGTACCAACCAGGAGGGACACGGGTCCAGTAAACATGTGGCAGCACTAAGCCTACCCAGAATCCTGTCCACGTCCTCAGGAGCCACATGGTCAAACTCTTCCCAGATAATATTCTCAAGACCTACCCCCGTCTACCCCCCTGGACTCATCCAGTCGGAGTCCAAGCCTTCCCGAATCTGAGCGACTTTATCATGCAGGAATTGTGCAAAATCCTCGGCTCGACCCTGCAACAGATCTTCCCGCGCTCCCACCCGAAGGAGGGAGCAGGTCACCCTAAACAGCGGCTGGGCGATTCTCTGCAGATGCGATAAGAACGGAAAATAGTTGGATTTCGCTGCTTTTATCGCCACTAGGTAGGTCTTGATATAAGACCTCACCTGTGTTCGGTCAGAATCAGATTGACTAGTCCTCCAGACGCTCTCTAGGCGTCTTTTCTGACACGTCATCTCTCTCAGCTCCTCGGAGAACCAAGGAGCCAATTGAGATCGGCATCGGGTCAGAGGCCGCAAAGGCACAACACGATCCAAAGCTCCGGCGGCCGCCCTATCCCAGGCGGCCACCAGGTCTTCAGACGAGTCATGTGCCAGGGTCTCAGGAAATGGCCCAAGCTCCATCAGGAACCTGTCAGGGTCCATTAGGCGCCTGGGACGGAACCACCTAGTCGGTTCCGTCTCCCTGCGGCGGGGGGTAGCGGCTCGAAAGTCTAAGTGAAGGAGAGAATGATCTGTCCATGACAAGGGCTTGATGTCTAGATCCCCTATTCCTAGATCATTCAGCCACTGACCAGAGACGAAAATCAAGTCCAGAGTGTGTCCCCCCGTGTGAGTATATACAAAATATTGTATTTTGGTTTTCGATTATGACTGCTGACTATGTGTATTCTGTCCCAATACAATGTATCAGTTGCTGGCATTCGGTTGTTGTTAATTCTGTTATTGTTTTTGTTTCTCCATATTGTTTTTATTCTCTTATTTTAACCCTAATATATAGGCCATCAGAGTTATTTTGGAGAAGTCCTGAACAGACTATTATGCACTGCCTAACAGTCTATCTTCCTGAATACCCAGGATAATTTCATACGTAATAATGGATTACTCTAGGCTCCTTTCCATTGGGAATTGCTGAAGTTGCACAATTAGGGATAGATTAGGATTTTATGTCCTTTTGGACCACTATGGACATATCTTAACTATACTTGCCTCTATGCATACAATAAGACACATGCTGAATTTTGTATTCTATTCAGTGCAGTTACGAACTGAACTTTGAAAAGTTTCTTGTTGATTCCATTATCATAGACAATTCACTCCCTGATCAGTTTACACTTCAGGTAGCAAACCTCTTCAGGATGAAGTTTAAGTTAAAATGTTCTGAGCCATGTGCCTGAAAGATTTGGATTTTCTAAATTTGGGGAATTTCTTGTTTGTCATCATGTTAACAAAGCCCCAGCTGAATAGAGAGAGATAGTCCAGGTGGTTGATAGAATTGCTCCCAAGGCATTTGACCTCCCACCAAGCGGAATAAACTATTTGATTTACTAGGCATCTGAGAGTGTTGAAGTGGATCATCTGATTGACAAATTCTTGGGACAGATCAAATTGAACACAGATTAAAGCCCATTTTAAGAAAGTAGTGATGTATCTCTGATACAGCTCTCATTGGCCCAGGAAATCTGTACAATTATAGTCCAGTTTCAATTATTCCATTTTTGGAAAAGGTGACTGAAAAAGAAATAGTCATTTTATAGTTCCAGATATAGCCGAGACACACAGATTATCTAGACTCTCAGCTAGGATATTATATTGAAATTGTTCTGTTTATTTGGTGAATAACCTGTCCTAGAAACTGGATTGGAAAGTTGGTTTCTGTTCATGGTGACTGTTCTTTCTTATTAATGACCAGTAAGCAATCCATACTCTTGCACATTGCCTCTGTGTGACAGTGGGCTGGATGAGGGAGAGCAAATAATACACAAATTTGTAAATAAAAATCTGATTTTGGAGTTTGAGGTTCAGGATGAAGTTGTACTTTCCCCGAAATAACAGGTTTACAGTCAGGAAGTGTTCCTTGTGTTGTGTTGTGACTGAATTCATAGGTAGCAATTGTGGCAGTGATGTTGTTGTCTCTAAGTTGCAGTTGGTGACAAACAGGCTGTTTACTGGTAAGCAAGGTACTAGGATCATACACCTTTAATGTAGGATCTGCATTGATTACCACTTGCTGATTGGGCACAATTTCTGTAGTAGAGCATTGTATTTAAAAACATTAAATGACTTAAGGCTGTTAAAGGATAATTGTTTAAAGGATCACCTCTCCCAGTATGAATACACCCAGGTTTTAAGTTCTGCAGAGGAAGCTTTTTTGAAAATGTTTCTGCTGTCAAAGACCTGTCTTTATAAGAAGCCAAAGAAAATCTCCTTTGGCATTGCTGCCAGTATGCTCCTGTGTTGCATTTGGATCCTGCTCTCTTAGTATTTAGAAAATCTGTTTTTAAAAGACCTGCATGTCTTTTGCCAGGTTCTTCACTGATTTTAGTATCAACTTTGGAGTTTATTTTATATTGTTTTTCTCTATTTGCATTAAAATATATTAGCTGCTTTAAAAATAAATTAACATTTTAATGAATTTCCTATTACCCAAAATTAGAGCTCTGAAAAAAAGTAGTTAATTGTGGCTTTTTTCTATCCTAAAATATATTTCTGTAGCAAACATCTGAAAGATTTACGTCTAAGAATAATACCTGACTTTATGACTCCTAGGTGTTTGCCCCAGACTATGTCTCATCTGTGCATATTATCTGTGTTTCTTAATTGTTCCCTGATCCACTTGGTTTTTTTATTTCTTGTGAATCAGCCCTTCTTATCTACAAAACTGGTTTTTCTCTTTGTAGATTTTTTTTTTCGGTTACAGGAAGTGGGGGGGTGTAGCCAAAGGGACATTCAGACTAAAGAGGAACAATAAAAATTTAGTAATGATTCATCTTATTTTTGCTGCCAGTGGCAAGGAATTTTATGCATGTGAAGTGCTCTTGTGTTGCTAAACTTTATATCATCCAATTTTAGATTTCAATTCATCTAGAAACTCACAAGCTAATCTATGTGCATGTGCTAATTATGTTGTAGGCCTAGGATTCTTTGTTAACATTTTAAATCAAGAAGCCAAAGTTCTTTCAATAATAAGAAACATATTTTTTTCAATTTTCTCAAATTGAGAGAAGGCACTTTAAAATCCACAAAGGATATTTTTAAGAAGAAATCATAACAAAATACTAGTATGGTGCTTCTTTCAAAAATAAATGCCCCTTTTAAAAAATGATTAATATTTTTTGAATGGTTAGTTTCTAAAATTCTTTATGCATATCTGGATTATGTTTTGCTTTTGTTGCATAGATCTCTCTCTCTCTCTCTCTCTCTCTCTCTCTCTCTCTCTCTCTCTCTCTCTCTCTTTTGCTTTTACATATGTCTGTCTAAAGACAATAATTAATCCAGGCTTAATCCAGGAGTTGACATGCCAATAAAATTGTTTATTATTGTATACAAACTTCTACTATGTGAACAGATAAGATGCAGAGTTTCTTTTTAGAGCTTGGGAAAAGCCAGCACCTGAACCACTCTTTTGCTCCGCAATGACTCTCAGCGCAGGGCTACCTTGTTATGTGGTTTTCTTGCTTGGTGTGATTTTGGGTTCCTTTTAAAGCCACCTCCTTGTCCAAGTCTTTGCCAACTATCACATCAAAATTGAGTGAATCTTTTCCACTTCCTGTCAATCTTTTTCTGACTTAGTTAAAATTTGGATGACACTGAGAGGATTTTTTTTTTTTAATCACTCTATTTAAAAGAGTAATGCCATATTGAGGACTAAGGGATGGATAGGATTTAATTACACTAAGGAAAACAGTTTTTTTTCTTTTATGTATGAGTGACAGGCTGTGCTTCATTTTTTATCTCAGGTGGTATGTTTAATTATGCAGATGATTTTTCAAATATCATGTTTTCAAGGATTTCCCCCCCCTTCCATTCAATCATGTTTGATTCTTTGACACTGCCTAGACAAGTCCCTGCAGTTTTCTTGGCAAGCTTATTCAGAAGTCCTCCTTCCTAGGACTGAGACAAAGTGGCTAGCCCAAGATCACCTTCCTAGATTTGTGCCCATGTGGGACTAGATAGAACTCATGGTCTCTGGTTTCTGATACATTAATCACTATACCAAACTTGACTGTCTGTATTTCAAATATCAAACAGCAATTTGGCCTATTGGTTAAAGCAGCAGTCTAGAAGGCAGGAGATTTTGAGTTCTAATCCTGCTTTAGGCATGAAAGCTGTCTGAGTAACTTTGGGCCAGGCCGGCCACCATTATTTATAAAAGTAATAAAGGTGTGTGTGGGGGGGGGGGGAATCTAAAAAAGAAAAAATCCCAACCTTATACTCTATTTATCATTTCTCTTTCTGCATAGAAAGCAAACAAATGATAAATTTGAGTCATACGGAGTCATTTGCTTCAAGTATGATCCTGCTAAGGTAACACCATGCAATGGGAGAGATAGATAAAACACAGGAATTGTTGGCTGAACAATGCACGAAATTGGCCCTGGTTAGAGGGTGGTATTTGGACTGATTTTGACAGAATATTTGGGATTTACGCTGGTTAGCTTGAGCTGTGTTATGTTTGTGTGCACTTCACCTTGTCTGTGTCCTTTTAATATTTCTTTTTCTGCTTAGATATGACTCTGGAAAGGATGGATTCATTGACCTTATGGAATTGAAGCTGATGATGGAGAAACTTGGTGCACCTCAGACACATCTGGGTCTGAAGAATATGATCAAGGAAGTGGATGAAGATTTTGATGGCAAGCTCAGTTTCCGTGAGGTACGTGCTAGTAAGAAAGATATGCAATGCAATAAGAATGTGGAACTTAGCTACTACTTCTGCTTTTCAGCTTTTAGAAAAAAAATAGAGAATGTGCAGTACATTAAGAATAAGATTTCAGTACCCTATTTAGAGTAACACAAGAGGATATTCAAGGACATAATTTCCCAAAGGAATTCCAAAGAATTAGAATGTGCTATTTATACATCTCCCCTATCCACCCCAAACTTTAAACTACGGAAGTCTTATGCTTTAAAGATATCGAAATCCAAACTCTGCAGTATTACCTGACTTGTATAGCATGTTAAATCATGCTTACTTGGTAGTAATCTACTTATTTATTAGATTTATATTCTGCCTTTATTTTGTGAGATTCAGAGTGGAATACATAATGCTCCTATTCTTATTTTTCTTACAGCTAGAACCCCGTGAGTTAGATTGAGCTGAAAAAAAGTGATCCAAAGCCACCCAGCTGGCTTCTATGCCTAAGGCAGGATTAAAATGTACTTTAAGTGCTGAGAGTACCGGTTGCACTAAGCCATGCACAAAACAATGGAATATAAAACATAATAGAACCAGTCTGGTGCAGTAGTTAAGGCACCACGCTAGAAGCCAGGACACTGTAAATTCTACTTTCACCTTAAGATATGAAAGGTGACTGGGTCACTCTCTGTCAGCCCATCCCACCTCAAAGGGTTGTTGTTGTGGGAGGAAATGGGAAGAAGAATGAATATTAGATATGTTTATCACCTTGAGTTATTTATAAAAATAATAAAAGTGGAATATAAATAAAATAAATACATAAAATATTGCTTTTGTTCTTACTAAACACTAAGGTATGCTCAAATTTGCTTGGTTTTGACTCAGCATATTGGGTAAGAACTATAGTTGGACTGCAGGGAACATGCCCTGCCTACATGGATTTATAAGCCTCCTATTCTCCTCCTCTTCCTCTTTCCCCTTGTATGCTGCAATCACTCAGACACATTCTGCATTGAGCACAATAGGGATTAATGTAATATCCAAAGCAGAATCAGAAGACAATTTAAATTGTGTTTTCTGAACCATGTTTGGCACATAAATAATACTTTATCCATATCAGAGCCATTCATTTGTTGAAATTCAGAACTAAGGGGTGAATTGTATATATGTACAGAGTCAGGGAAGGGAACTTGGAAGAAATGTTCAGAAATATTTTGTAAGCAAAAAAGACAAAAGTGTTACTTAAGTCCTTGTAACAGAAATAATATTAAGAAAAGAATCAGGTTGGTTGGCCCTTGAATGACTCAGTGAAGTGTAAGAGGGAAGGAAGGAGAAGTACAATCAGACTTGCAAAATTTTGTTATTTTAGCCTACAAAAATCGTTCTCATCTTCCTGTAAAGTTGAGTTTTGGATCTGAACTACATTTAGGAAGACAGGAAGATCCTCTTACCCCCTACAAAAATAGGCAATATTCACTTGCTGAGTACTACCCAAGGACATCCAAATAATGTTCTCCTATTTCAGATGCTATTGCATGGTCCAAAGTGGATAGTTCTGCACAAAGCAAGTGCCTCTTTCATTCAGATATCGTACATGCATTGTGAAGACTATTCTTTATGGAACAAAAGTTTAAGGGAATCATCCACTTAATGTATCCTATATTTTTGTACTATATGTGGGAAGAAAAGAACTTCACTCAAAATCCCTCTGGAGGCATATATTAAAAATTAGCAACAGGCTGACATTAGTTAAATTGCATAGACATGCACCTACGATAATGGTTTTAATTGTTTAATATTTGTAATGTAAACGGATTCACAAATTAATAGTCAGATGTCCATAAGAGACTGCCTGACACATCCCAGAGAGCCAAGGAGTCTGGCAATATGCTAGGAGATATAAATTTTTGTTATATAATTAAGGAGAAGTGCTTTGTGAAAATGATCAAACATTGTGAAGATGCCCAAAGCATTAGTTTTTATGTACATATAGTTTGGATCTCCCTGGATATTAAAAGCCAGAGAAATATATACAAATTATTTGTTTTTGCCCAGTCGCAAATAGTATACTCAGGTAATTAGCTAAATGGAAATGTAGCCTATTGTACTCAATGAATTGGAATTTGGAAGGAACAGTTTGGGCAAGGGTAGATTGGTATCAACAGGTTCCTTCACTCTAGGACTAGTTCTCAAATATGGGGAGGTCCATAGTTTCCCTCTCAATTGGGAAGAATCTTATTTGTTATCAGATTTTGCACAGAACATTTTCAAAGTGCTGTTTTGGAGTGCCCTTTCTCAACTTCAATAGGTAATGTGGAAAGAAGTATCTCCCCACAGTTACTTGTTTTCTACTGATATATATGCTTAATGTTTATAATAATTCTGCATGTAGCTGTTTTTGAAAAGATATAGAATATTGCATGAAGCTATTGAATAACTTGCTAGATTAAAAAAAGTTTCACTGAATTTTAGTTTGTTTCTGGGAATATTTCACATACTTTAATCAATAAAATCCTGAATGGTTCAAGAGTAGAATATCCAAATTCTCCTAAGATATTCTCTTTAGAAATTTCAGGAATGTTCTCTGGCTGATCTGCAGACTCCTCACAGGGAAGGTAGGTTTAAATCTCCTGAGACTACTAGCAAGGCATAGAGGAATCTTGAGCATGGGTGTCAAACTCGATCGTGTCACATGATGTATCATGATGATTTTGTCTTTGTTGAGCCGGGGTGGACGTGGCCTGCATGTTACACATCTGTCCCGCGGGCTGCCAGTTTGACATCATAGGACAGAAAACAGGACATTACTACCTTACTGCTGATCCCTGTCCTGTTTTCTGTCCTATGATGGAGTCTTGATTTTGGGCATGCAGAGCAGGTTAGGTAAAACCACTTTGCTCTCTTCCTGTTTATAATTGTCACGAGTGTTGGGGAGGACATTTGTTAATCACAGCATGGATATACAGGGGTGCAATTTTGAAAGAACACTAAGCCCATATGGAAGAGTAAACAAGGCTTGCTATGCGAAAAGCACTAGTTTCGCATCAGAACACTTAAGAGTAACTTAGGGGTATCTGAGATGTGGGTTAGGGATGAGATGAAAGCAGTGTTGTTCAGACATGGAAGAAGAACAAAAAAAAATCATCTTGCATATTAGCAAACATTTTATATTTCAGCAGCATTGAATGTGCTACTAGGGAAAAGGCATGGAATTTCCCTGAGTTTTCATAGTTTTGCAATGGTAATTTATTCCAATCTATTTTTACATCTGGTATTTAATAAAGTTAATTTTTACTTCTTCCAATTATCACTCTATCAATGTGTAACTAATTGCCACATACCATTCCAGACCAGATCTCAAATTGAATAACATGAATATAACAAACATGCTACAAGTAATTTATTTCATCCGGAATAATGACTACATGACTGTGGTTTTTCCTTGTTGTTAGCCACCCTGTTCTATGTTTCGTCTAAACGTCTATTTTTTGCTGTGAAATGTTTGATTTGTTCTTTGGGCTCTTCCTTTTTTCCTAAAAAGATTGTCAGTACTCCTAGGGCTACCAGATCTGAGCTATAGACACTAGACTAGATTTTGCAAAACCATACTGAAAATTCTAGTATTTTACTACCACCTGGTGGTCATCCTTAATTTTGCAGCCTGGAACTTGTAACCTTACTAGCAGAGTAAAATGGAATCTGCATTTGTAATCTAGTAATATATAGACTTGCAAATGCAAGTTTTCTTAGATTATTTCAAGAGGAATTTATCCATGTCAAAGGTTTCTGGAATGACAGTTGTTCTGTGAGAATTCTAAAGAGTACCTTATTCTAGTACCTTTAAACACTAGAATATGATGTGACTTGATTTGAAGCTTTGCTGCAGTTACGTTGCTTTCTTTATTTTCTGAATAGTGATTTGATTTGGTACCTGAATGTATACAGATTGTACGAATTATAGCCGTAAATACTGGTATAATATTGTGAAGAATCTCTAAAAAGTCAGGTCAATATGAACATTGTAAAATCACTAGCTACTTATCTACGGTAGAGAGAACTTTTTCTATTCCTGTGCATAGAGATGATCTGGATTTGGCAGCTCCCATCTGACCTCTTCCAGCTGTTTAGATGAGTCATTCCCATGTGCCTCTCTTTTTTGCTCTGTCAACCGGTATTACAATGTGTTTCTCTATTCTTGTGGCCAAATGGGGGAAATCTGCCTGATAATTCTGAGAACTATAATTTTCCTACAAACAGCTATGCCTGTGTACATACTGGGCTAGGTTTATATTCTGTGAATTAGAGTGTCACTGAATTTGAAGAGCTTCTTGTTAATAATAAATATATAAGGAAGCTTTCTTGTATGAAGGTGTTAATCTTGATTTATGCCAGGTCTTCCACCCCCTGAGGCACCCTGTGCTCCATTTCCTGCTCCTCAGGATCCCTGCAGGCCTTGAGTCTGCTTCCTGTTGTGGTCCGCCAGCAGCCTGCGGAGCTGGAAGCAGAGTCGGACAGCGATGAGGCAGAGGAAGAACATGGGCCAGTTCTGGAGGCTGGGGAAGGCCCGGATGAGGGCTCTGAGTCAGAGGCAGAGATGAGGCCAGGGCCATCAGGGAATGAGGTACGGACTCCAGAGCCTCCAGAGACTGATAGGAGTGAGGCAGAGGAACAGGAGGAGCCTGTTCCTAATGCACGCAGGAGAAGAGCAGCCAGAAGGCAAGAGCAGCTCAAGCAAAGAGAACAACTCGGGAGTAGGGCCAAGAGATGATTGGCCCCTCCCATAAGGCTTAAAACAGACCAGCAATGGAGTTTGGGCTTTGCGTTGGTAGCTTCTTCTTCTTCGTCTCTGTCTTGTATTTATTTTTGTATCTGTGACTTCTGAACGTTTGCCAAGAAAGGCCTTTGGCAGTTTGCCTAATTGGACAAGGTTTGCGATAGGACTGAGGAATTTGTGTTGGGAGGAATTTGCTTTAATTTAGTTGAATGATGCTAGGCATGAAGTAATTCTCAGCTGTTCG